TAGCAAAGATGTGTGAAGTTGAAAACACAGTGGAGCACTTCCTGTATCGCCACATGACATCACAAGGTGGAATAGAGTGTTTCCAATTTGAGAGAAGAACTCAGAAGAAAGTAAATCTGCAGGGTTTGTGTGTTAAATGTATGAATGACACAAAACACAACTCCAGGTCTGTTTGTGTTGAGAAAACAACATCAGAAGATACAGTAGATCGTAAAATATCGCAATGTGGGTTCTTTAAAAACAGAAACATACATAAATATTTGCGCTGGATTAAACGGTATGATTCATCTTAACACAGTGTCCACGGTTTTGTTACATAACAGAATCTATGTAAACACGGCTTATCTTAATCCTTCATCAGTCCCTTTAAATCTGATTTGGCGCAGCTCTCTGTGATCTGTCCTTGACCTGAGGCTGTTGAATCAGGGCACTGTACTTTTTATTTTATTTATAGAGTTTTGCTGAGATGAACTGAATTTCATGAACTGACATCTGGACACAATTTGGACTTTTTAGTGTATCAACCTTAAATCTTGAGCACAGATATTTTGTTTTGACCTGCTGCCTAAAGAGTACACACAAAGCTTTGTTTTACAGGTGCAACTTTTTGTATTACTTTTTGGTTGGGGGTCCGTCACCTGCTTGTTTCTATGTAGATGTCATTGCTCTGCCTGGAATGCCCCACAGTGTAATGTTAACAAGTCTGTTTTATTTAGGCTTATTGTTTTTGGTTGTCTTGCAGTTCCTGTGTAACCAGGCTGGTGCCACCTAGTGTCTCCGCTCAGTTTCATTTCTCTCCAGCGATTAGAACAGGAATCAGAATACACTAGACCAGGGGTGTGCAAAAATATTGAAATATTGATATGTCGTATCATTTAATGTTATCATACAGTACTGATATCGGGGGCTGCTGTATCGATATATCGCCAAGAGTATTTTTTGTGTGTATTTTTCTAAAATTTTTTTGTTTAACAGAGCTACAGTTTTGTTGTTTGTTCAGAGGAAGGAAACTTTTTTATGCGACACATTTGACATTTTCACTGTTTTGATGATAAAATGTTTTCATTTTCACTTTGCACAAGAAGTGGTTTAACAAAGACTTTCAGTATCACAGCCATGATTTAGCCTTTATTTTTATTGAACCATATCGAATCAATTTGAAATATATCATATCGAATTGAAAGCTCACTGTATCAAGATAGTTATCGTATCGTGGTCTGTGTATCGAGGTATGTATCGTATCTGCAATGTCTTAATGATACCCAGCCCTACACTAGACGCTTTGCAAGAACCCTGGAAGTCGTACACCGCGCACCGGTCAATCAGTGAAGATCTGTGAAGCCATGACGTCAAACTCGTTACGCCTGTCTGGGTCTCTTTTGTGGTACGACACAACAGTAAACAAAGCGTCGAGATGGATGTAGATGAAGACAGACATTCTGTGTTGGCAACGATTCCCGAGATCGAGGATTTAAAATTGAGGATTTAAAGAGAATGTTTGATGAATTTCATCAAGGGGAAAGACGTTCCTACGGGATTTGGTGCATTACGTACGTCACGACCAAATAGCAGTGATTGGTTAAATAAAAAAAGTATCCCTCTACCGTCGAGCGAACGAATCTTGATGCTGCGAGGCCAGACGGTTTCCACAAAGTGAAACCGGCTCATGAATCAGACTAGTTCCTGTGTTCTTTAGAAAGTAAAGTTTATTGATCTTTGAAAGGGTGTATTTGCATTTTCATTACATTGTCATTACATTAGTTGAAAATGGTCTCAAAATGTCAATATTACCGTTTATTGCAATAATTTCTTGGTCAAATAATCGTCCAGCAAAATCTGTTATCGTTACAGGCCTAAGTGTGACATTAAACATCTGTACCTTACATTTATTCAATTACAGGTGGTTTTATAGCTCAGAAGCGCAAACAAACATTCTGACTGTGAGCGGGGTCGCCTCTCCGCAGATCTGACCTGTAACTTGTTCAGGTTTGGTCTCCATGAAGATAGAAAGGTTTAATACCAGACTGTGAAACATTTCATGGAAAAAATCATTTGACAGACTCACCACATCTTTAAAAGTGAAGAAAAAAAAAACAAAAAACCCACACACTAAGATGGCTGATGTCCAAAGGTTGTTTTTTTTTTTTTTTTCGTCAAAAAGCCTTTTTCAGATATTTTTTCTTGCTTTGGACACACAATATTTTTTTCTTTTTATTTTTTTTCTGTGTGTTTTGTTTTTTTCTTTTTTTTTCACTTTTTTTTTCCCATTTCTTTCACTTATAAATTGCTGTTTTTTTTTGCACCTCTACAAGAACTTTGGTGTGTGTTTTCTGTTCCATTAGACTCTCCAACTGTAATATTTTTTTATGCAAAGAGAAAACTTCACAAAACACAAAACATCCACACTACAACGGATGGGACAAGATCTCGTGTCACGAAATCCCACGAGACAAAATCACCACAAGATCGTGCGCACATGAGGAAAATTATCTCGTGATTTTTTTCATTGTTTCTGTTGGACTGGACAAAAAGGTTTTAAGAGCTGCGTTTCTCGAGAAGCTGCAATTCCAAAAAAAGTAGTGCCTCTATTACACGACATTATATAAAGTCAAACACAAACGGCGACGGCAAAATTGTAACCCAAACCGCACAATTTACGACAATTTATTTATTATAAGTAATGTGAAAATCTGGTTTGGTCTTCGGTTTGCTGGATCCAATTTTGTGGCTGGTCTCATCTTGTGGAAATTGTCTCTGTTCCCACTCGTAATGACTACACAGCTCTGTTATAGTTTTGTGGTAAAAAAAATGAGTTGTGCGTCAGTTCGTAGTACGTTAAAATGACAGAATTTGGGGGAAATAATACAAATCAGCCTTACATATCGTCCCAGAAACATCGGCGAAAATCCGTATCGCTCAATCTCTCTTGAGTACTACTTTAAAGGATCTTATCTGTTTTCAAAGTACATTTTTATTGAATTAAATCAGTCAAAATTGTACAATGGCTCCTAAGTGATTCAATAAAAAGCACTGTATTAGATTTTTTTTCTCTCGTCAAACCGTTTGCAGTGGTCCAAAGTTTTTCCTCATTTACTTTATGCATTCAGAGGATCCTAACGAGGGGTGGAGTGGGCGTGGTACTCGGGGCTACGCTGTCCACTCACTTCTCCCGACATGAGTTATAAAAAAATAATAAATATAAAATAGCTTTAACACAACTTAAATGTCAAACTTGAGCTACTGGTACTGGTGAAAACAAACTGCACAGACTCATGATATCTGCACTACTGTCCTATAGAGATCTGAGATATGAGGGACCAGGACTGGACCAGGACTAAACCAGGACTAAACCAGGACTGAACCAGGACTAAACCCTAACTAAATCAGGACTGAGTGCTGGAACGGGCCCAGGGGTGCACCTGCATACATCGTCGGGCGACTGCAGGAGAAAAGAGCTCCACGCCCCACGAGGCAAGATTAGTCCTGGTTTAGTCCTGGTTTTAGTTCTGGTTTTCGTTTCTGGTTTAGTCCTCGTTTAGTCCTGGTTTAGTCCTCGTTCAGTCCTGGTTTAGTCCTGGTTCAGTCCTCGTTCAGTCCTGGTTTAGTCCTGGTTCAGTTCTGGTTTCGTCCTGGTTCAGGCCTGATTCAGTCCTGGTTTAGTCCTGGTTTAGACCTGGTTTAGTATTGGTTTAGAAATGGTTTAGTCCTAGTTTAGACCTGGTTTAGTCCTGGTTCAGTCTTGGTGTAGTCCTGGTTTAGTCCTGTTTAGACCTGGTTTAGTCCTGGTTTAATCCTGGTTTAGACCTGGTTTAGACCTGGTTTAGACCTAGTTTAGTCCTGGTTTATACCTGGTTTAGTCCTGATTCAGTTCTTGTTTAGACCTGGTTTAGACCTGGTGTAGTCATGTTTTAGTCCTGGTTCAGTCCTGGTTCAGTCCTGGTTTAGTCCTGGTTTAGACCTGGTTGAGTCCTGGTTAGTCTGGTTTAGTCCTGGTTCTTAGTCCTGGTTTCAGTCCTGGTTTAGTCCTGGTTTCAGTCCTGGTTTAGTCCTGGTTTAGTCCTACCTGGTTTAGTCCTAGTCCTGTAGTCCTGTTTAGTCCTTTCAGTTTAGTCCTGGTTTATCCTGTTTAGTCCTGGTTTAGTCCTGGTTTAGTTTAGTCCTGGTTTCCTGGTTTAGTCCTGGTTCAGTCCTGGTTTAGACCTGGTTTAGTCCTGGTCCTGGTTCAGTCCTGGTTTATTCCTGTTTAGTTACCTGGTTAGTCCTGGTTTAGTCCTGGTTTAGTCCTGGTTTAGTCCTGGTCCTTTAGTCCTGGTTTAGTCCTGGTTTAGTCCTGGTTTAGACCTGGTTTAGTCCTGGTTCAGTCCTGCGTGAGGCGTATGGGAGGAGGCGGCGTATACGAGGCAAAAAAACGCTGCAACGCTCCAAACTATGAGTAGGTTGTCAGAATGGCAACACAAAAAGTGTCAGAATGAGGGAATGTTGAAGCGGGGGTGGCAGGATGTCGGAATAAGGGTTGTATCCATGATGTTTGTTTTCCTCTGTCCCAGTGATGTTTGCTCCGTCGCTGTCCAGAATGTGCTTCTCTCTTTTACAGCTGCCACATTTGAGTTGTTCTTGTTCTGCGTTTTGTTTTGTGGCTCATGTGGACGCATTTGCTGTTTCCTTCTGTCCTATGTTCCTTTTTTTCGTGGACTGAACGCCCTCCTTCTTTCCCCGATGTGTGTTTTATTTCAAGACGTGCAGGGTATTTTGTATATGATGTCACATTTACGCTCCGGTTCTATTTGATCTTTTGGCTGGATGTGTTTTCTGTACAGTTTTTCTGCTGTGTTCATATTTTCATTCGTGTTTGCTCGTTGCCCTCTGCACTCTTGGTCGAAAAAAATCAAAAATAACCTAACAATCTAAATTATCGGGAGACCAAATGGATGACCTCATTGGACTAAGTGTGTGTTTGCGTTTTACTGAAGCTCATGTGTGATGTGTGTGTCCTTGTGCAGAGCGAGCGCCTGCTGATCAAAGGAGGGAGGATTGTGAACGATGACCAGTCTTTTCACGCAGACATCTACATGGAGGATGGACTCATCAAGTAAGACATTTAACAGACTCTCGCTGTAAACGAATCATTCATCACATCTTCGCTTATCAAGATCAGAAGGTGAAAGCAAATATACAAAATCATCAGTTGGACACGCTGCATTTAACTAGAACTGTTCTGTGACTAATCGACATAATGTAGTTTCCACATCACAAACAGACCTGGAGTTGTGTTTTGTTTCATTCACACGTGTTCAACTCACAAGTTCTTCTCTCAAACTGAAACGCCCTGTTCCACCTTGTGATGTCATGTGGTAATACAGGAAGTGCTCCAATGTGTTTTTAAATTCCGTACACCTTCACTAGATTCCAGTAGGGTCCGGTCAAGTGGTAACGGAGGGAAACAGGGGCAGATTTTTTACATTCAAATAGCTCTTATTCAGAAACTAGAGGGACTATTGAAATAAGTAAAGTATCAGAATGTAGGAAAGAGTTAACACTCTCCAACAGGGTAAAGTTAAACCTGTGATATTCTTTCTTAAAAACTCATGTCAGTAACGGAGGGAATGAAATATTCAGCATTTTTGGGCAATCACAATATTTGTCAGAAAAAAAATAAATACAAAAATCTAAATTGTGCAGCTTCACCGAGCGAAATATAAACACTTGGAATTGTCTAAATGTAGTAAACCTCATTGAACTTAAATTCAGTGTGCAGTCTCCTCTCTCTGTCTCTCTCTCTCTCTGCTTTCCCTTCTTTCTCTTCTCTCTCCTCTCTCCCTCCTCTCTTTCCTCTCTCTCACCTTTTCCCTCTTTCCCTCTCTCTGTCCCCTTTCTCCTTCCTCTCTCTGCCCCCCCTCTCTCTCCTCTCTTTCCCTCTCTCTCTCCTCTCTTCTCCCCCCCTCAGCCCTCTCTCCTCTCCTCTCTCTTTCCTCTCTCTCCTCTCTCTCTCCTCTTTCTCTCCTCTCTCTCCTCTTTCCCCTCTTTCCCCTTTCTTTTCTTTCTCTCCTCTCGTCCCCTCTCTCTCCTCTCACTCTCTCCTCTTCTCTTTCTCCTCCCCATTTCCTCTCTTTCCTGTCTCTCTCCTCTTCCTCCTCTCTCTCCTTAATCTCCTCTCTCCTGTATCTCTGTCCTCTCTCTCTCTCCTCTCCCCTCTTTTTCTCCTATCTTTCCTTTTCTCTCTCTCTCTCTCTCTCTCTCTCTCTCTTTCTCTCTCCTCCCCCCTCTTTCTCCTGTCTCTCTTCTCTCCCTCCTCTCTCCTCTCTCTTTCCTTTCCCTCCTCTCTCCTGTCTCTCTGTCCTCTCTTCTTTCTCCCTTCCTGTCTTTCTCTCCTCTCTCTTCTCTCTCTCTCTCTCTCTTCTCCCCCTCTCTCTCCTTTCTCTCCTCTCTCTCTCTTCTTTCCCCTCTTTCCCCTTTCTTTTCTTTCTCTCCTCTCTTCCCCTCTCTCTCCTCTCACTCTCTCCTCTTCTCTTTCTCCTCCCCATTTCCTCTCTCTCCTCTCTCCTCTCTCTCTGTCCTCTCTTCTCTCTCCCTTCCTGTCTTTCTCTCCTCTTTCCCCTTTCTTTTCTTTCTCTCCTCTCTGCCCATCTCTCTTCTCTCTCTTCTCTCTCTCTTTCTTCTCCCCGTCTCTCTCCTTTCTCTCCTCTCATCCCCTCTCTCTCCTCTCACTCTCTCCTCTTCTCTTTCTCCTCCCCATTTCCTCTCTCTCCTGTCTCTCTCCTCTTCCTCCTCTCTCTCCTTAATCTCCTCTCTCCTGTATCTCTGTCCTCTCTCTCTCTTCCCTCCCCTCTTTTTCTCCTATCTTTCCTTCTCTCTCTCTCTCTCTCTCTCCCTCTCCTCTCTCTTCTCTCTCTCTCTCTTTCTCTCTCTCTCCCCCTCTCTCGTCCTCTCTCTCCGCTCTCTCCTCTCTCTCTCGCTCTCCTCTTCTCTTTCTTCTCCCCTTTTCCTCTCTCTCCTGTCTCTCTCCTCTCCCTCCTTTCTCTCCTCTCTCTTTCCTTTCCTTCTCTCTCTCCCGTCTCTCTGTCCTCTCTTCTCTCTCCCTTCCTGTCTTTCTCTCTCTATCTCTACTCTCCTTTCTCTCCTCTCTCTCTCTCTCTTCCCTCTTTCCCCTTTCTTTTCTTTCTCTCTCCTCTCTCTCTCTCTCTCTCTCTCTCTTCTCCCCCCTGTATCTCCTTTCTCTCCTCTCTGCCCCTCTCTCTCCTCTCACTCTCTCCTCTTCTGTTTCTCCTCCCCATTTCCTCTCTCTCCTGTCTCTCTCCTCTTCCTCCTCTCTCTCCTTTCTCTCCTCTCTCCTGTATCTCTGTCCTCTCTCTCTCTCTCCCCTCCCCTCTTTTTCTCCTATCTCTCCTTCTCTCTCTCTCTCTCTCTCTCTCTCTCTCTCTCTTCTCTCTCTCTCTCTCTTTCTCTCTCCTCCCCCTCTCTCTCCTCTCTCTCCGCTCTCTCCTCTCTCTCTCGCTCTCCTCTTCTCTTTCTCCTCCCCTTTTCCGCTCTCTCCTGTTTCTCTCCTCTTCCTCCTCTCTCTCCTTAATCTCCTCTCTCCCATCTCTCTGTCCTCTCTTCTTTCTCCCTTCCTGTCTTTCTCTCCTTTCTCTCCTCTCCTTTCTCTCTCTCTCTCTCTCTCTCTCTCTCTCTCTCTCTCTCTCTCTCTCTTCTCTCTCTCTCTCTTTCTCTCTCTCTCTCTCCTCTCTCTCCTCTCTCTCTCTTCTCTTCTCTCTCTCTCCCATTTCCTCTCTCTCCTGTCTCTCTCCTTTCTCTCCTCTCTCCTGTATCCCTGTCCTCTCTCTCTCTCCCCTCCCTCTCCTATCTCTCCTTCTCTCTCTCTCTCTCTCTCTCTCTCTCTCTCCTCTCTCTTCTCTCTCTCTTTCTATCTCCTCCCCCTTCTCTCTCCTTTCTCTCCTCTTCTCTCTCCTCTTCTCTTTCCCCTCCCCTTTTCCTCTCTCTCCTCTCCCTCCTCGCTCTCCTCTCTCTTTCCTTTCCCTCCTCTCTCCCGTCTCTCTCCCCTCTCTTCTCTCTCCCCTCCCCTCTTTCTCTCCTCCCTCTCTTTCTCTCTCTCTTTTCTTTGTCTGTCTGTATGTGGAGTCTCAGACAGTGTTGGCGTTGCATAATAATCAGGTTGTTTTCTATTGGAGCAGAGCAGAACTGGTGGTCCCCTCCCAAATCCTCTGACCCCCCCCCCCCCCCCCCGTCCTCCTCTCATCCCCCCGTCCCCCTCTCATCCCCCTGTCCCCTCCTCCTCTCATCCCCGTCCTCCCTCATCCCCCCGTCCCTCTGTGTCTGTCCCTTTTAGGAATGTGAGAAACCAAATGCGACTGTGCTGTGTTCAGAACTTTTAACCGTGTTCGAGTTATTTCCCTTCTGCACTTTCCCTCGCGACGGCCGCGTGAAATAATCCCCACGGGCTTTTATTTGGGCCGGACGCGTGCGTACGGTGTGTGTGTAGGTGAAGCTTCGGACTAAACTGTTTCTGTTTAGACGTCCTTGGAGACAAAGCTAAAATGATCTTGGCAGTTGGTCTGATCCCAGCCAGGTTTGTGCCCGGGTGCTTGTTACTACGGCAACTCGGCACCAGCTCTAGTAAAGCGTTTTGTTGGAACAGAGCTGAGGATTTCCAACGAGGTTCATTTGATCTTCTGATAATTTATGCTATTAGGGTTTTTTTTTTTTTTTCAGACCGAGAGTTTGTTTTCATCTGCACGGAACTGAGACCGGGACTAGACAAGAACTGAGACCGGGCCTAGACCAGGACTTAGACCGGGACCAGACCGGGGCTGAGACCAGGACCAGACAAGAACTGAGACCAGGACTGAGACCGGGACCAGACCAGGACTGAGACCAGGACCAGACAAGAAATGAGACCGGGACCAGAGCAGGACTTAGACCGGGACCAGACAAGAACTGAGACTGGGACTGAGACCGGGATCAGACCGGGACTGAGACCAGGACCAGACAAGAACTGAGACTGGGACTGAGACCGGGACAGACCGGGACTGAGACGGGACCAGACAGGACTGAGACCAGACTGAGACCGGGACCAGAGCAGGACTTAGACCGGGACCAGACAAGAACTGAGACTGGGACTGAGACCGGGGCTGAGACCAGGACTGAGATTGGGACCAGACCGGGACCAGACCGGGACCAGACCGGGACTGAGACCGGGACCAGACAAGAACTGAGACTGGGACTGAGACTGTGATTGAGACCGGGGCTGAGACCAGGACTGAGATTGGGACCAGACCGGGACCAGACCGGGACTGAGACCAGGACCAGACAAGAACTGAGACCGGGACCAGAGCAGGACTTAGACCGGGACCAGACCGGGACCAGACAAGAACTGAGACTGGGACTGAGACTGAGACTGGGGCTGAGACCAGGACTGAGATTGGGACCAGGACTGAGACGGGACCGAGACCGGACCAGACGGGACTGAGACCGGGACTGAGACCAGGGACTGAGAGACCGAGACCGGGACTGAGACCAGGACTGAGAGACCGGGACTGAGATTGGGACCAGACCGGGACTGAGACCAGGACTGTGACCGGGACCAGACAAGAACTGAGCACGGGCCCAGGCGAGGACTGAGAACGGGACCAGACTGGGACTGAGACCAGGACTGAGACTGGGACTGAGACCGGGACTAGACCGGGACCAGACCGGGACTGAGACCGGGACCAGACCGGGACTGAGACCGGGACTGAGACCGGGACTCCAGACGGGAGACTGAGACCGGGACTGAGACCGGACCAGACCGGACTGAGACCGGGACTGAGACTCGGACTGAGACCGGGACCAGACCAGGACCGAGACCTGAACCAGACTGGGATTGAGACCATGACTGAAACCAGGACTGAGTCTAGGAGTTTGTTTTCGTACCTGACAGTTTAGTTCTGCTCCCTGTGGTCTTCCTCAGACTGGTCACATGATGTTGCTGCACAGGACTGTAAACGGGGACGAGGGGCTTTTTTACTCTCACACACCTGGGATACTGTCCTGAGGAAGTGGGACTGCAGGTGGCGCTGTCGTCCTGCCTCCACTGGTAGGAAGACAGCACCAAAACCTGTTTAACCACTCTGAGGAAGACCGTGAGTGATCAGTCCAAACTGTATGAAAACAAACTCTCGGTCTGAAAAAAGAACCTAATAACACAGATCTAAGGATTTAACAAGGCTGGATTGACCAAATAAGCCAGACTTTGGTTTTAACTCACTTTATCAAGGAGAGCACTTTGAATGTTAGCTTTCATTAGTATATAATTGAATTGGCTTTAACTCTTTCCCCCCTGGACGCCGACTAGGAACAACCCATACATATATGACGAGGGCATAATTGCATAAAAGAAAACAGACTTCCACGAGTGATTATAAATGATTTTTACACTCATGAACTTAATTGTAACACAGACATATTTGTATCTCTGGAAACCTTAGACTCTGAACTATTCATTTATGGATGTTTAAATGTGATTCAACTCATTTATAGATGTATAACAGCTCACTGAAAATGAGAGTTTACCTGGTCAGGTGCAAAATTGAAAACAAAAAAACTACATTAAGCATCTGATATCTGCATGTTCTGAAAACTATATTCATAAAAAAATAAAAAATATACTTTGTCAAAGTATTTCAACAGATTTCATATCACCAGATACAGTATAGCCAAGTGTTCACCTGTTTTTACCTGTTGTTCACCTGTGTGGACCTAATTCATTTTTTCCATTTAACTTATTCAACTCATTTAGCTTATTATAATATAATAATATAATAATAAAACTCTTCCTCATCAGTGTTTGTCCAGTATTTGTCATCTTGGTTATTTTCTCGTGGGCAGAGCTCCGCATAAGTGTTTGTTTCTGTAGCGATTCTGTTATACATCTCATCTTGGAAAAAAAGACTGAAATATTTTAAAGGACTCACCTGGGCAACATCCAGATTTCAGGGCAATTTTGGTTCATAATCGAGTATAAAGCTCAGATAGTTTGTTTGGATATCGCAGGACTCCACACAGACGCATCAGCGGCGTTCTCACCTTCGTAAGTTTCACTCTCTGAAAGTCCGTCGCCGTCGCTGTTTTCCACTTTATAATCAACTTCATCATCACTTTGAAATCTATAAAAGTCACTTTCTCTAAACTTATCCATAAAACACGTCCGCTCCTCATTATTTCTAAAACTGTGCGCCGCAGCACCGCGATCTTTCCATTGCTCGTGTTTCGTGTTGTGTTTTTTCCGGAAGCTACAATCGTCACTACTTCGATTAACTTTGGAAAAAAATTGGCGAAAAACATATCCTTGAATCCTATTGGTCAGTCTAGTGTGGGTTGTAGTGGCCCCCACCTATCACAGCCTCTGTTTAAATGTGAAAAACCGAGCCGTTTCTAATAGTCGTCAAATCACGTCTTAAGTAAAACAGCAGAGGTGTCAAAAGACGTCATTAAGGAAACAAGAGGGTCGTCAAATGTCGTCTTCATGGGGGAAAGAGTTAATGTGCTTATTTTATGGTATCAAATCAACTCTGAGGTGTTCATTGAAGAAATACCTTTTTAAAACTGAAAGATAAGAATAAAATCGTTCCTGTAAACTGATTAAAATCCCCCAAAGAAATGTCCCATCCTAACATCTTGTCTTCTGTGTCTATTTTAGGCAGATTGGAGACAACCTGATCGTCCCTGGGGGGGTGAAGACTGTGGAGGCCAATGGGAAGATGGTGATTCCGGGTGGCATAGACATCCACACACACCTCCAGATGCCCTACCGCGGCACCACCACCGTAGATGACTTCGCCCAGGGGACCAAGGCTGCCCTGGCCGGAGGAACCACCATGATCGGTAAAGAGCTGTAGAAAACTGTACATAAGAAAAGATGAGGGCATGACCGGTCATTTTAGATGGCGTTTTGATGTTTAAACCTACTCTTTTCAGTCAAGATGAAGATTTATTATTATTATTTGAATTTATTTATTTGGAGGATAAGCCCCTTGAGATGTCTTGCCATCTCGTTTTCTAGGGGGTCCTCATAAATACAACAACAAAAGACAGATACAGAAGGGCAGACAGTAGGATACATGAATTAAAAAAAAAAATCAAAACAACAAAATCAACACGACCACAAACACACACGCACACTTGACTGTTTGACATATAATCAAACAAATTTGAGGAAAAAACAAAAAAAAAAATAAAAACAAAAAAAAACAGAGTTCAAAGATAATCACAACAAGATGAACAACAAAAATTCAACAAAATGCTCAAAAACAATTACATTACAATATACATTATTATTATAACTATAGACGATATACACTAATCCATCACAAATAATTAGAATATCAAAAAGTTCAAATTTTTTTACACTCATTTCACAAAGGCCTGACACATAAAGTGAAATATTTCAAGAATTTATGTCTTGAATTTTGATGACTGTGGCTTACAGATAATGAAACACCAAAATTCTGTGTCTCAGAAAATTCCAATATTACTTCAGATCCATTAAAATAAGGAAATCTTAATAGTCAGGGAGCCAAAGTCTCAAAAGCTCAATAAAATGGGTTGAACCTGACATCGTCTGCCATACTTTTTGTTTGTGTTTTTTTTTTTTTTTGTTAAATGTGACCTTAAGGACCAATAATTGAAGGGTCTGCTCTTCCGGAAATATCGCAAAAAAAACTGTGGTCATTTTAGTGTATGTGACCTTCATTTTTTGATAGAAAATTTAGAAAAATGCAAAGAACACATGGGGCGACAACATTCTGTGAAAAAATGATTTTCATCTTTACCTCATTGGCAATATCAGAATGTTGAGAGTAGCCTAACATTCTATTGAGGTTCCGTGTCTGTTGACGGCCAACTAGTAACGAAATCATCACAGATCTATTGATTTTGGTTGGATTTTTTAAATATTTTTTTCTGTGAAATGAGTTTACTGTTTGGAGAAAGGAATGGCCAATAAGGCTTATGTCATTACTTGGGTGAATAGTTGATTCCCAATGAGGTAAAGATGAAAATATTGGAAAAAAGTAAAAAAAAAAAAAAAAAAAAAAAAAAAAAAAAAAAACGCCTTATTTTTTGCATTAAATTGAGCCAAAATCATGTAGAAATGTGTTTCAGGAATAATTTTTTCACTGAATTTTGTCACCACAGGTGTTCTTTGCATCTGGAATGCATTTATTGACAGCTTACCCAACCCAGTGAGGATTTCAGGAAATTTTCATGTTTCAAAATTTTCCATAAAAAAATAAAGGTTACATGCACTAAAATGTGTGAAGAATCCCTCAGTCGTCCAGGCAGAATCCATGAGGAGAAAAATTCAGTTTGTCGACTGGACAAAAGTTAGTTTGTTGAAGACGTTTCGCGGCTCATCCAAGCTGCTTCTTCAGTTCTGGTCAGACGCTGGTGGACACTTCCTTAAATCTGCAGGGAGGAGCTAACTACACTGAAACTACACTGAAACTAACACACACACTTGTTCACAGTTTCTGTTAGTTAGTTATGTCTATTGACCTGTACAGGGTGGTGGGGTCTAATTAGCAGAACAATTAATGGGCATAATAGAGCTTCCTCACCTCTGGACCTGACCTGGCTGCACCTGTTGTTCTCTTGTTTGTTTTGACTTAGGTTTGAGGATGGAGTTGTAAATAGGACCGAACTAACAAACAGAATCTGTGAACAAGTGTGTGTGTTAGTTTCAGTGTAGTTAGCTCCTCCCTGCAGATATAAGGAAGTGTCCACCAGCGTCTGACCAGAACCGAAGAAGCAGCTTGGATGAGCTGCGAAACGTCTTCAACCAAACTAACATTTGTCCAGTCGACAAACTGAATTTTTCTCCTCATGCACTAAAATGGCCACAATTATTTTCGCGATATTTCCGAAAGTGCAGACCCTTCAATTATTGGTCCTTAGAGTCACATTTAACAAAAAAAAAACACAAATAAAATGTATGGCAGACCATGTCAAGTTCAACCCATTTTTGAAACTTTGGCTGAAATGTCAGGCTTCTGAAAAGAGCGTTCATTTCGATGCCTGAATTACTCTATCAATGCAACATGCATAAAGAAAAATGCATTTTAGAGCCCATATTACATATTGTCTGATCTACATTATAATGTTTCCTCATCACAAACAGACCTGGACTTATGTTTTGTTTCATTCACATGTTTAACACACAAACCCTGCATATTTCTCTCTCAAACAGAAACAGTCTATTTCACCTTGTGATGTCATGTGGTAATCTTACCACCACCTCACTGACATCCATGTCATGTGGATGTCAGTGAGCTTACAATTCGATACGATATATTTCAAATCGATTTGATACAGTTCAATAAAAAAATAAAGGCTAAATCATGGCTGTGATACTAAAAGTCTTTGTTAAACCACTTCTTGTGCAAAGTTTATATGAAACACAAACATTTTAATCATCAAAACTGTGAAAATGTCAAATGTGTCGCACAAACAAGTTTCCTTCCTCTGACCCAGGAGTGTCAAACTCAAATTCACAGACCAAAATTAAAAACTGGGACAAAGTCGTGGGCCAAACTAAATATTTACTGAAACATTTTACCAGCATCTGCATGTTTTCTCTTCTTTTGAGGTACGTAATGTTAAACCTTTTCTTATTAAAATAAATGTTTAATAATAGTTTTGCTTAAACATTGACTCCAGAACAAGCATCATATAAAATAATAACTAAATATTAAATAAATAATGCATCTATATAACTGGATTTGATCTCACGGGCCAAATATAACAATACCTCAGGCCAAATTTGGACCCCGGGCCTGAGTTTGACTGAGTCTGCTCTAAACAAACAACAAAACTGTAGCACTATAACAAAATAAATGAGTAAAATATATGAAAAAATACTCTTGGCGATACTTCTATATGATGATATTGATACTGTATCATCACACACCCCTTGTCATAAAGCAGTGTTTTTTATGCATTGTGTAACTGTTTTTCTACTGAACCAAAGGTCAAATGTCGCTGTTAACTTTAAACTCCCGTGACATGACATCACAAGAGCTGCTCAAACATGTGTGAATGAAACAAAACACAACACCAGGTCTGTTTTCAGTGAAGTAATAACATGACTTAAAGCTCACGAGTCCATTTGGTGTCATATAGAAGCTTTAACATGCATAACCAGTGTTGGAGAGTAATGGATTACATGTACTGGAGTTACGTAATCAGAGTACTAACTGTATTTAGTTACAGTTACTGTTTCAGTGAGTGGTAATGGGATTACAGTTACTTTGTTGAAATAAAGTGGATTACACAGCGGTATTTTTCAGTTTTTACATTTGGGGCTATATTCCCTTTATGTTTTTAAGTATTTTTTTTTCTCCGTAACTCCACTCATTGCCGGACACTAAACCAAGGACTAAAACCAGGTCTAAATGAGGACTAAACCAGGACTAAAACCAGGACTAAACCAGGACTAAACCAGGACTAAAACCAGGACTAAACCAGGACTAAACCAGGTCTAAACCAGGTCTAAAACAGGATTTAACAGGACTAAACCAGGACTAAAACAAGAGTAAAACAGGACTAAACCAGGTCTAAACCAGGTCTAAACCAGGTCTAAACTAGGTCTAAACCAGGTCTAAACCAGGACTAAAACCAGGTCTAAACCAGGTCTAAACCAGGACTAAACCAGGACTAAAACCAGGACTAAAACCAGGACTAAACCAGGACTAAACCAGGACTAAACCAGGACTTAAAACCAGGACTAAACCAGGACTAAACCAGGACTAAAACCAGGACTAAACCAGGACTAAAACCAGGACTAAACCAGGACTAAACCAGGACTAAAACCAGGACTAAAACCAGGACTAAACCAGGTCTAAACCAGGTCTAAACCAGGTCTAAACCAGGTCTAAACTAGGTCTAAACCAGGTCTAAACCAGGACTAAAATCAGGACTAAAACCAGGTCTAAACCAGGTCTAAAACCAGGGACTAAACCAGGACTAAACCAGGACTAAAACCAGGTCTAAACCAGGACTAAAACCAGGACTAAAACCAGGACTAAACCAGGTCTAAACCAGGACTAAACCAGGACTAAACCAGGACTAAAACCAGGTCTAAACCAGGACTAAAACCAGGACTTAACCAGGTCTAAACCAGGTCTAAACAAGGATTTAACAGGACCAAAACAGAACTAAACCATGCAGCGCGGACCTGTGTTTCCTCGTCTTCTATCAGTAATATTTTTAATACGTTTAAGGAAAGTCTGGGCTTTTCATTGTCTTTTATCAGACAAAACATCTTATGTTACGATTTCCTCGTCTTTGCTTCTCTACAGCAAATCAAGTAATCCAAAGTATTCAGATTACATTACTCACTTTAAGTCATTTAATGGATTCCGTTACAAACTACATTTTGGTGTGTGTAATCTGTAATCTGTAGGGGATTACATTTTAAAAGTCACCTTCCCAACACTGTGCATAACAACACACAGTTTAAATCATGTGTTTAGTACGGAGGTGTGTACTTATAAAACCCAAGCACATCTTCCCTTTGAAAACACATGTGCTGCATTTTTACAACAACGGGGCAGATCCACTTACGTAATAAAAAGTCTGATTTGCCACAGAGGCTCTACATTAAAAAGACCAGACAAAAGCTCTCATTGATACAGGATCAGCAACCAGTGTTGGGAAGGTGACTTTTAAAATGTATTCGCCTACAGATTACAGATTACACACACCAAAATGTAGTTTGTAACGTAATCCATTAAATTACTTAAAGTGAGTAATGTAATCTGAATACTTTTATTACTTGATTTGCTTGGATTACTTGATTTGCTGGAGACACGTCCGCCCAGCATGGTTTAGTCTTGGCTTAGACCTGGTTTTAGACCTGGTTTAGACCTGGTTTAGATCTAGTTTAGATCTAGTTTAGACCTGCTTTTAGTCCTGTTTTAGTCCTGGTTTAGACGTTTAGTTTTAGTCCTGTTTTAGTTTTAGTCCTGGTTTAGACCTGGTTTAGTCCTGTTTAGTCCTTTTAGTCCTGGTTTAGACCTGGTTTAGATCTAGTTTAGACCTGCTTTTAGTCCTGTTTTAGTCCTGGTTTAGACCTGGTTTAGAGCAAGTTTAGATCTAGTTTAGACCTGCTTTTAGTCCTGTTTTAGTCCTGGTTTAGACCTGGTTTAGAGCTAGTTTAGATCTAGTTTAGACCTGCTTTTAGTCCTGTTTTAGTCCTGGTTTAGACCTGGTTTAGAGCAAGTTTAGATCTAGTTTAGACCTGCTTTTAGTCCTGTTTTAGTCCTGGTTTAGACCTGGTTTAGATCTAGTTTAGACCTGCTTTTAGTCCTGTTTTAGTCCTATTTTTGTCCTATTTTAGTCCTGTTTTAGTCCTATTTTAGTCCTGGTTTAGTCCTGGTTTAGACCTGGTTTAGATCTAGTTTAGACCTGCTTTTAGTCCTGTCCTGTTTGCCTTTTTAGTCCTGGTTTAGTCCTTTTAGACCAGGTTTAGACCTGGTTTAGAGGTTTAGATCTAGTTTAGACCTGCTTTTAGTCCTGTTTTAGTCCTGGTTTAGACCTGGTTTAGAGCTAGTTTAGACCTTTTAGTCCTTTTAGTCCTGTTTTAGTCCTGTTTAGTCCTGGTTTAGACCTGGTTTAGATCTAGTTTAGATCTAGTTTAGACCTGCTTTTAGTCCTGTTTTAGTCCTGGTTTAGTCCTGGTTTAGACCTGGTTTAGACCTGGTTTAGATCTAGTTTAGATCTAGTTTAGACCTGCTTTTAGTCCTGTTTTAGTCCTATTTTAGTCCTGGTTTAGACCTGGTTTAGATCTAGTTTAGACCTGGTTTAGTTTCCGGGAATGAAGTGGAATTACCGGGAAAAAAAAAGGGGGATATAGCCCAAAATGTGAAAACAGGAAAATACCGCCATGTAATCCATTTATTTCAACAAAGTAACTGTAATCCAATTACCACTCACTGAAACAGTAACTGTAACTCAATACAGTTACTCATAATTTGTGCTCTGATTACGTAACTCCAGTACATGTAATCTGTTACTCCCCAACACTGTCAGCAACACACATTCAACAACAACACATTCACACACACACACACACACACGCCGCCCCTCCCTAAATGTCCCAGAGTCCAGACCAGATCCCCCCGAGCAGCTGCCGAAAACCACCCTCCCATAATGCATTTCTCTTCACCAGACTTGGCCGGGGCTGCGCTGCTAATGCGACTTTAGTCTGTAGTTTCCAAACGCACATGTACCACTGCAGCAGCCTATTGATTCAGGGATTATTATAATGTGTCTGGTGATTAATGACTTCCTACGTGTCTAAATTGTTCACAAGTTCCCACCGTTTTCCATACGGCCCGTGTACATTCCTACTTTGGGAATTAATAACAAATATAACGGAGGAAATCAAAACATAGAGTACAAATCGTTTTTTTACAAATTAACAATGCACATTTAACAAACAGATTCTGATCGTACATAAATCAGTAAAAATAAATAAAAAGATAATAAACGGAAAACAACAGAAAAGATTTATGATTCATTCAGGTGTAAGAAAAAAATCGATTCAGTGATATATCGTCATTGCCCAATTCTCGAGTCGATTCAAAATGGATCTGGATTATTATTATTTATTTTTTTTTCACTTAAATTCATTCATTCACTGTTCTTTTGATTTAAAAAAAAAAGTTTATACATTATATTTCATACAGTTGTGTTCTCTTGAAGGTGCAGTTGACTGTATTATTAGAAATAATTATTGATAAATTGCAATATATCAGCAATATTTATAAATTATTTGTTTCCACACAAACTCTTTTTCAGTCCATAGCATTCCGCCTCTGGTCATTCATTTATTTTTATTTTTTTCAATTTTCTTTTTCCAGGAATGAATATTTTTATTTACATGCATTCTCACAATCTTGAGTATTGTGTAATTTTTGTTCTATTTTTTTTACAACAAAAATTCCTTTCAGTAGCGCAGACATGGAATGTAACGAAGTACTAAAGTAAACATACAGTACGATACTTATTTTTTACTATTTTTAGGTATCTGTACTTTACTTGAGTACATTTTACAGTGGAAACTTTTACTTTTACTACATTTGAGAGCTTGTGTCTGTATGTTCTACTCCACTACGTTACTTTAGAGTACTTTTCTTTATGCTTTGAGACCATTTCATTTGAGTTTCTATCCCAACTTTGAGCAAACCAAATGCACAAAAACACAGCTAGAAAAATGTAGAACTCAACCGAAGCCCTTAAAATCAGCTAAATTCTTTATCTAAATCATTACATTTGATGCTTTAATTATTCTAAAAAATCAATTCAAAAACATTTACGATACATTTTTACTCTTAAAGTACAATTTTAAATAGCTACTTAAATAGTTTTTTTATGTGATACTTTTACTTTTACTTGGGTAATCTTTTGCCCCTGTATCTTTTACTTAAGTAACAAAATTGAGTACTCCATCCACCACTGCAGATAAGGCAGTAATGATTTTTTCTGAAATTCCTTTTCTATATTACTCTAGCGAAAGACATCAGAATTTACAATAGCGTTTCTAAATAAGAAATTCACATATAAGGAATGATTAGGTAACACTTTATAATAACTACACCTTATTTAGCCTTAATAAAGCATGAACAAAGGCTTAATTAATAATGAACAAAGACTTAATTAATAATGATTCACGCTTAGTAACTACTTAATTACTACCTTAATTAGCACTTGCACTTAATTTTCCTGTGCTATAAATAGTTACTCATAATTATTTCATACTTAAATACTCATGAACTAACCATTTGAGCATTTATTAATGATTAATAAGCTATGACAAAATGATTTACTAATAATGCAAAGCAATGATAATTCAGGCAGCTGTTATCTGTTATTTAAGTCTTTTTGAGAGCTTTTCTTAAGTGAAGACGAATTATGCTTTATAAAGAATAGTTCATTATTAATTAAGTCTTTGTTCATGCTTAATTAAGGCTAAGTAAGGTGTAGTTATTATAAAGTGTTACCAATTATTATTATTATTATTATTATGTTGGTGGCTATAGTCATCAGCTGTGTTTTTATACTTTGCGGATGGTGTCAGCAACATTAACGCTAACTGTAGGCACTGTTCTCTCTGATGTGTTTTTAGACTTTAATCTGAGATTTCTTTTAACACAATCTGACTAGAAAGGGCTGACTTAGTTTCTGCTATAACAGGTGAGCTGGTCTGTGCTGTTGAATAAGTTTCTCACAGGTAAAATTACAGTCACAAGCAACTAGGTTCAGTCAACAGCATTTTGTATTTTTTCTGTATTTCTGTATTTTTTCTTGAGTTTTCAGACCATCTTCAAACTTAATTAGCACCATGGTAACTCCTGAACATTCTGCCACAGACATACATTTTTGATGTTTTGCAGTCAAATAATTCAATTTAAAATGTGATTGTCCTGGCCCCTCATAGACTTGGACAAACTTTATTGATCCACAAAAGACATTATTTGGACACAGTAGCTCACACATCACAATATAATATAAAAAAAACAAAGACAAAAAAATATAAATAGTAATAATATCTGGGTTTCACGTGACGTCACAGGGCTACGTTTGTCAGCACGCAAAATCAGATGGAGGGCAGGAAGTGAACTGACTGGAGGAAAATGCCGATGTGTTGTGTAGTTTACGGCTGTGCCAACTGTTCTAACCGAGAGAAGGAAAAGCGATTTTTTTAGAGTACAAAATATAGTCGTCCACAAAGGTCAGAAATGGGAAAATCCGACAGAACAACGCCGTAAAAAGTGGATTATAAACCTGTTTACGGTCGGGAGGAGCAGAATTCGCTAATGCTCGTGTCTGCAGTGAACACTTCCTCAAAGGTTTGTTACAAAGATAAATAGTTTTTTGTGGTTTACCTAAACATAAACGAATCATTAACGACTAACGGCTAACGACGTTTGTTGACATTAAATAGTTCAGATAGAGGTTACTGCCGATACACTGCAGTTTTTCCCATAACGTCTATACACATAAAATAAGAGAAACACTCACCCCGGCGAAGACCAAACGATAATCATCATTTAGGCGTTTTGCACCGAGGTTGAGGACCCATCCACTGACAAAAAAAGTTATAAGCCTCCAAACTTTTGTACTTTGCCTTCATCTGTTGTCTGGTGTAGAACGATGTCTGAAGAGCTAAATAGTTCGTGATCTCCTCTGCCTCGATTGTCTGCAAATCTTTTACTTCGGTTGAAAATTCTCTCATTTTCAATAAGATGGGGTCACGCCCAATATATTTATCGACTAACTGCTCGTACTTTTGCCTTGCTACTCGCTCTAAATCCTTACAGTAAGAACTCTTCTCCATATCTGTGTTCTCCAGAGCCGTGTTTGTTTGTCGTGTTTGTCCTGCCCTCCACCTGAAATTCGCGCATCATCGTGATCACGTGACTGAAACCCTCCTATTATTCAAAATAAGTAGAAGTCTAATTTTTGTTTCTCACCTCTGTGTCTCTCTTTCTCTTCTTCTCTCTGTCAGTGGACCATGTGATCCCAGAGCCCGGCTGCAGTCTGATGGGGGCGTTTGACCAGTGGAGGCAGTGGGCAGATGAGAAGTCGTGCTGCGATTATTCTCTGCACGTGGACATCACGCACTGGAGCGACAGCGTCAGGGACGAGGTGGACGCGCTCATCAAGGACAAAGGTTTAAACATGAACTCAAACTCTACATACAAACTGTAATAACCAGTGTTGGGGAATAACAGATTACATGTACTGGAGTTACGTAATCAGAGTACAAATTATGAGTAACTGTATTGAGTTACAGTTACTGTTTCAGTGAGTGGTAATTGGATTACAGTTACTTTGTTGAAATAAATGGATTACATGGTGGTATTTTCCTGTTTTCACATTATTTTTAATTTTTTTTTTATAATTTATTTTTTTTCCGGTAATTCCACTCATTGCTGGAAACTAAACCAGGACTAAAACCAGATCTAAACTAGGTCTAAACCAGGACTAAACCCAGGTCTAAACCAGGACTAAACCAGGACTAAACCCAGGTCTAAACCAGGACTAAACCAGGACTAAACCCAGGTCTAAACCAGGACTAAACCAGGACTAAAACCAGGTCTAAACTAGATTTAAACCAGGTCTAAACCAGGACTAAACCAGGACTAAACCAGGACTAAACCCAGGTCTAAACCAGGACTAAACCAGGACTAAAACCAGGTCTAAAACCAGGACTAAACCAGGACTAAAACCAGGTCTAAACTAGATCTAAACCAGGTCTAAACCAGGACTAAACCAGGACTAAACCAGGACTAAACCAGGTAAACCAGGACTAAACCAGGACTAAAACCAGGTCTAAACTAGATCTAAACCAGGTCTAAAATAGACTAAACCAGGTCTAAACCAGGACTAAACCAGGACTAAAACCAGGACTAAACCAGTCTAAACTAGATCTAACCAGGTCTAAACTAGATCTAAACCAGGTCTAAACCAGGACTAAACCAGGACTAAACCAGGACTAAACCCAGGTCTAAACCAGGACTAAACCAGGACTAAAACCAGGTCTAAGATAGATCTAAACCAGGACTAAACCAGGACTAAAACAGGATTTAACTGGACTAAACTATGCTGCGCGGATTTGTCTCCTCCTCTTTTATCAATAATATTTTTAATACAGTTAAGTGTCCTCGTCTTTGCTTCTCTACAGCAAATCAAGTAATCCAAAGTATTCAGATTACGTTACTCACTTTAAGTAATTTAATGGATTACGTTACAAACTACATTTTGGGGTATGTAATCTGTAATCTGTAGGGGAATACATTTTAAAAGTCACCTTCCCAACACTAGTAATAACACTGCGACAAACGGGACTATTGCACAATAAATCACTATAACAATCCAAAAGTGCAGTAGAATGATTCAGCATCTAATCATGACCAGTCCAGAGTGAAAAATGGGATTGTAATTTGATAACTGCAGTGGTTATCTGGACGTTACACACTCTAATACACGTTTGAAAAGACCTGTATTTATTATGAAATCATCATTATTAAATCATAATGTTAAAAAAGAATAAACTTTTTCAGATTTTCATCAATAATACGTCTATTTTAGAATCCTTCCGTCGCCACATTTCAGCTTTATTTGGTTAGGAACATACTGTATCCTTATTGTGTGTAATAGAAGTAATAGTTGGACTAGTCGACTAATGGAAAAAATGAATGGCCGACCAGGGGATTACTAAAAGAATCATTCTGTGCAGCCCTGGTGGACACACTTATCTGACTGTACAGGCTGCACTAGGTAATAGAACGTCCACTGCAAAGAATAGAACAGGTTTTGAGTCTATAGACGCTTTGCACCGTCACTTGACCCCATGACCGGGCACGCTATGTCATCGACTTCAGCAGCATCGGAGAAACATGGGCAGGTTTTGTTGTGTATTTGGTTGTTCTAGACGCTCTGAAAGGGATAAAACAAATCGTTTCTTCACTATTCCTCTGGAAATGACTCATCAGGAGCTCAAACAAGGGAATTATCGAAAAAAGACACGGATTATAGCTAGCAAAAATAAACCGCGAAGAGATTTCCTATGGTTTCATCAAGACACCCGAAGTTTCATCAAGGTATTTGCTATTTAAATTGTTTCATAGCTTATTTAATGAAAGAAGCACATTTACTGAACTAAAATTTCATTAATTTATCCAGAAAAACCCGCAGTAGTTTACGATTCAACGAACCCACACTGGGCTCCTATGATCAACATGGCAAAGAGCTCTGTGATCCGAACCTCGAAAGAAAAGATCCTCGCAAAAAGCTATTAATTCTAGAAGACATAGTTGTGGATAAGCAAGATAATAAAGAAAACATCAGTCCTACGACGAGTGACATGTTTATATGTGCTGGAAGATAGTTTCTACTGCCACTCACACTGCAAATGTTTTCTTTTTACATTTTAGTTCAGTAAATGTGCTTCTCTCATTAAATAAACTATGAAACAGTTTAAATCGCAAACACCTTGATGAAAGTGACGTGAGTGTGTCTTGATGGTACCATAGGAAATCTCTTCGCGGTTTGTGTTCTGTATCCATAATTCCCTTTTTTTTCTAATAATTCCCTTGTTTGAATCTGATGAGTCATTTCCAGAGGAACAGTGAAGAAATGAATCGTTTTATCCCTTTCAGAGCGTCCAGAACAACCAAATACACAACAAAACCTGCCCATGTTTCTCCGATGCTGCTGAAGTCAATGACATAGTGTGCCTTTGCTATATGGGTAGCTGAGATGTATTTAACTGTAGCATATTATGGTGAGGTCACATTATTGTTATACATACATACATATTAGGGATGTAACAATAATAAAAATATCGTGATATCGTATCGTATCATAGCGTGGACCATCACAATATATTGAATTACAAGTCTCTTTGCTTAAATGAAGAGTTATGGTGCAGCAATAGCTAAAAAAAAAGACACAGGGAACTATTTTAGAATTTTAGAATTTATTTATTTGGAGGATAAGCCCCTTGAGATGTCTTGCCATTTTGTTTTCGAGGGGGTCCCTACAACAACAAAAGACAGATACAGTAGGGCAGACAGTAGGATACATACATTCAAAAAAGCATGAAAACAACAAAATCAACACTCCAAACACACTCACTCGCACTTGACTGTTTGACATATAATAAAACAAGTAAAACAACTACATAGACCATGATCCTTTGCTCCATTTCAGCGCCGACTACAAAAAGAAATAACAGTTCTAAACACTTTTAAGTCTCAGTTCTTTGGATTAAGTCTTGTCAAGGCATTTTAAGAGGAAAAAGTTGCATATTAACAGTTTTGTCGCAATAAATGTCGCACCGTGAGATGTATATTGTGGAAATATTGCGTAAATATCGTAAGAGATTTGGATATTGTCACATCACTAATCGTGAGCCTCCCCACAGTATCGCAATAAATATCATGCCGGGATGATATTGTATCGTGAGACTTGGACATCGTTACAGCCCTAATACATAAACATTATTATTACACAGTGTCCTGACTTCTACATATCGATCTGGGATGGCTGTAGCAATGATCGGAGCGTGTTTAGGCAAATTGAAAAACATGATTTAACCTGAATAAGTCACATTTCTTTTTTACCAGAGTGACATATTTTGTTTTTCAGGTGTCAACTCGTTCCAAGTGTACATGGCCTACAAGGACTACTACCAGATGAGCAACAGTGAGGTATTCTTCTGTCTGTATTCTATAAACGTACATAAGTATCAAGTCAAAGATGAACAAACTGGACTCATAAGCGCAATCAGAGATAGCAACCTGGTTCCTCCTGAGCCGTCGTTGGGGGCTTGTGTGATGATTGGGTGAATATTTTAGGCCACAGATGGTTCAGAAATTGCAGAAATTACCTGTCCTTTATAACGGCGTAACCTTTCAATTGACCCATGTGACCTCAAATGACCTCGGATCATCACCAGACTTTTTTTTTTTTTGCGCAGGCATCGGGCAGGGGGCTTGACCCACGAATCTATTCACTCAAATTTGGTAACAATCGGTCCATAAATGGCGGAATTATCGTGGGTAGACAGACACACACACACAGCCACTTCTAAGGATATTTACTTGATATATGTTTATGTATTTGCTTTAATGAAAATAGTAGTTGAAACTGCTTCTATATAATGCATGTCCAAAAGTATTCAAAAGTATTCGCATTCAATCTATATTTTACAGAGCATTTAGAACTAACACAGGAGTTCCTGACTGGGTTACCTTCTTTTGTCCAATCAGGCACATGTTGCTAAGAATCATGGCAAACTGTCTGACACAATCCCAGACACTTCAGTCTCTGTCATGGTGAATTTTAATTAGAGAAAAAAAAAGCTTAAAGGTCCTATATTACAGAAAACTGACTCTTGTGTGTTTTAAGTTGTTATCTCACCAAAACCTACCTGGAGTTGCGTTTTTCACGATTCATGAGTGGTCAGTTTTGACTTAAAGGTGCATTGTGTAACTTTTCTGGTTCTTGTTTGTATGGATATGTCTTTGCTCTGCTTGGAATGTTTCAGATTGTGACATTAAACAGCTCTACATTACATTTATTCAATTACAGGTGGTTTTATAGCTCAAAATTACATAGAAAAACAGACATTCTGACTGTGAGTGGGGTCGCCTCTCCACAGATCTGACCTGTAACTTGGTTTGTTTTGGTCTCCATGAAGATAGAAAGATTTAACCCTTTAGGCGCTAGAGGTATTTTCCTAAAACGTTTGATTTTGACATCTTAGTGCTGGTTCAGTCCTGGTTTAGACCTGGTTCAGTCCTGGTTCAGACCTGGCTTAGTCCTGGTTTAGACCTGGTTTAGACCTGGTTCAGACCTGGTTTAGACCTGGTTTAGACCTGGTTCAGACTTGGTTTAGACCTGGTTCAGACTTGGTTTAGACCTGGTTCAGACCTGGTTCGGATCTGGTTTAGTCCTATTTTCATCTTGGTTTAGTCCTGGTTTAGTCCTTGTTCAGTCCTGGTTCAGACCTGGCTTAGTCCTGGTTTAGTCCTTGTTCAGTCCTGGTTCAGACATGGCTTAGTCCTGGTTTAGACCTGGTTTAGTCCCGGTTCAGTCCTGGTTTAGTCCTGGTTTAGTCCTTGTTCAGTCCTGGTTCAGACCTGGCTTAGTCCTGGTTTAGGCCTGGTTTAGACCTGGTTCAGACCTGGTTTAGACCTGGTTTAGACCTGGTTCAGACTTGGTTTAGACCTGGTTCAGACTTGGTTTAGACCTAGTTCAGACCTGGTTTAGACCTGGTTCAGACCTGGTTCGGATCTGGTTTAGTCCTTCTTTCATCTTGGTTTAGTCCTGGTTCAGACCTGGCTTAGTCCTGGTTTAGGCCTGGTTTAGACCTGGTTCAGACCTGGTTTAGACCTGGTTTAGTCCTGGTTCAGACTTGGTTTAGACCTGGTTCAGACTTGGCTTAGTCCTGGTTCAGACCTGGTTTACCTTGAATGAAATTTGACCCCCTATTCGTCAAAATCGTCCGTTTTATTCCGAGCGCCATCTTGTCAACTTAAGTCGACCGTGGCGCCTAGAGGGTTAATCCCAGACTGTGAAACATTCCGAACAAAGCAGCAACATCTCCATGGGGAAAAGCATCTCCACCAGAAAAGTTACACAATGCACCTTTAAACTCCAGCAGCCTGCTAGTGAACTGTGAGAACCGCGTGTTAACCCGCAGCCTCAGAGACACAGCCGATCGCACGCTCGTGTCAGATGCCTCGGTTGACTCTGCAGGTCTGGGTTAGGAGACAGGTCCAGGGGTCAGACGTGTTTTGGGCCAGTTAGTTGATAAATCAGTCTCTGACCACGTAACTCTGTGTTCAACAACTAACACAGGACACGAAAACAAAAGTAAATCGAAAAGTCTGAGCAGTTGTGGGGTTTGGAGCAGTATCCAGAATTTTTAAATGGATTTCAGGATGAGGAGAAATTGGTACAGTTGCAAATTTAAACTTCTGAAGTGGTCAAATCCTCAAAACGGTGTCTATAACAGAAGTATTTTGGTAGTAATTTATAATAACTACGCTTTATTTAGCCTTAATAAAGCAAGAACAACAAACAAAGACTAAAGGCTCATTCATGTTCTACGTCCTAGAAGTGTCTGTTCGTCTTCTGAGTTCTCTTTTTGATTAGAACATGTGGAGTCTTAGTCACAGAGCGGTACATGAACTGACCACTGGGGGCAGTAGTGAACACAGCTCCACAATCGAGGCTAAAGTTTTTACAAAGTGTCTAGAATCAGCTGCAAAACAAATAAACGCGTCTCTCACTGCATTTTTTTGACTCTTTTCCAACAGATGTGATCTAAAAACTGCCATGTGCACCTCCACGTTTGTTTATTTGTTGCGGTATTTCATCTGTTTTGATTAATTCTCAAACTGACTTTTAGCGCCCTCTGGTGGTTGCTTAACGAAACCTTTGTAAATATAAATGCAGTGACGGTTACTACACTTGGAACGCACAGATTTGTTCACATAAGAAAGTGGAGCAGAAATGAGCCTTTAAAACTTCTGTTAGTATTTAGATACTAATGATTAACTGACTGACCCGGCCCTGTTGTATTCTCACACATCACCACTAGATGGTATCTACAGAACTGCTGTCTGATAGTGTGTCACATCTGCCATCTACCTGACCAGTGTCAGAAAGCTACTCATTTTAGCGACCGCAAGGAATTGAGACAATTATAAGAAAGAGGGCGAGCCTTTAGATGCAGTTAGGCTGCGTTCAGACTGCAGCCTGAAGTGACCCAAATCTGATTTTTTGGCCCCTATGTGACCTGTATCCGATCTTTTAATGACAGTTTGAACGGCACAGATCCGATTTTTTCAAATGTGACCCAGGACACTTGGATATGTGGTCCTGAAACCGATACATATCTGATCTTTTGATATGCGACTTCAGTGTGAACAGCCAAAGCACATTCATTCAACCTACACGTTATCAACAAGCCACAAACGTCACTATTCTGCGCTGAAGTAGGTGAAAATTGTTAATGAACTCCGTGTCACTGAAGTGAAGCACATCGCCACTCACCACTCTTTGCTACGTCTCCACATCCACACGTTCCTTTCAACAGACGTCGCTGCCGCTGTCCCATAAAAACACCACGATCAAAAACCTCGTCCTTCTCCTTCTCAATCTCCTCCTTAAAACCAGTAAGTTGTTCATGTTCTGGCTCCGGTACGAGAGGAACTTTAAAATCTCCAGGTGCTCAACGCTCGCGTCCGTGTTTGGACAACTTCCGTAAACACAGAGACGCTCGCTGCGGTTGACGTCATCGTGTCTCCAGTGCACATGCGGGACACTTTCAGGCCGTTTACTGTTCACACAGGGGATCGAATACAAGTCGCATTTAATTGGAAATGTGAACGACCTCGCGAAAACATCAGATTTCACAAAAAAATCGGAATTGAGCGTTAAGCCCTGCAGTCTGAACGTAGCCTTAGACACCGATAAAATATAAACCACTGTCCATATTAGTGCACAAAGTTGGTTTCAAAATGACACATGCACAATAGTAATAGGTATTTAATGAACCCGATTTTTGTTATTCAGCACAATGTATAATTCCAAAATCCCTTGGTGAGCTACTTAGAAGAGGGTGAAGAGCTGCTGGTCACTCCCGAGCTGCAGGCTGGAAACTGCTGCTTTATGAGTCGTCTTCAAGTCGTCTGAAACACACTAATACTTTTGAAGCAAATACAATCTATTAAATATAATGAGATTACATGTCATTGATCTATTATCTATTATTAACTATTATGTTATTGATCTATTTCCTTCCTAAAATACCTTCTTATGTTACAAATCCTGACTTGCAAAAACCCAAGATCAGGAGTCTCCAACCTGTAACTCGGGAGTTACCAGTAGCACTCCAGAATTTTGGATTATACATATTGTGCTGAATAAGTCAAATTTAATAATTTAAATGCCTATTTCCATTGTACATGTATTATTTTAAGGTTTAACTTTGTGCACTGATAAATGGATAATGGTTTAAGTATAGGGGTCAGTGATAAGGATTTTCAACAGGCAAATTTTAAAATATAAAAAATATTAGGGAACTTTTTCAAATATTTACAATGTCACATATGCATAAATCTATGTTTAACATTTATATTAAGCATTTTTAGTGCTTTTTCTATGTACATGAATTGGCTACAAACTTGAAAACTGTCATGTGTGACCGAGAACAGCCTTAAAATTGTATATTAATCTAAGTGCTGAGTAATATGAAGTGTAAGAAAGCTGAAATTTCATGTGGGACTACAAAGAGAAAAACAGAAAATATACGAAAAAAGAAAGTAAACTAAATTTGAAGAATTTGCAACTGGACAGAAAATGTAGGTGTCATGTCACTGACCCATAAACATCTAACTGTACCTCGTTTAAGACTCACTCTGGCCTTAAATGTACTGGACCCCATTTTTTGTGACCGCTGAAACTAGTAGAATCCGTGTATTATTCATTCTTTCTTTTTCAATATAAAACCAAAAATAAGACATAAAAAAAACATTCTTCATTATGTGTCTTCAAAACCAAAATGAAAAAACGGATAATGATTTTGTGTTTAAATAAAAAATAGAAAAAACAGATAAAAACAGTTTCCTGTTACTTTGCGAATTTTGCGCCACATACGGACTGAACCAGAACTGAATCAGGACTAAACCCAGTCTCA